TACTTGCCTTAGCAGCCATATCCAAAAGCCTCATCATACCGTTCAAACTCTTGCTCAAACGTCACATTCTGTTGAGATATTTGCACGGTCTTGACGCTTTGCTTTTTAGTGTCTCTTAGCGCGATTCACGCCATTGAGACCGTTAGTTGCCTCTTTTCTCAATGGGAATAAGTTTCTATGGTTCCCGTGGTGGAGGGAATGTTGGTTTTTGCTTCTGCACGAGGCGTCACCGGCCGTTGGTAACAGAGTTTGGACTAGCAGCCCGCCTATGCTATGTGTGTTTTAGTGGTGGTTTTGACACGAAATACTCTAAACGGCTCCTCGGCGAACTTGACTAAGGTTGACAGAGGGCGTGTACATGTCATGCCGTCATGTGTCTTTGACACCGGGTTCATTGAACCCGGTTCAACTCCGCAGAGCACGGTTGTAAATAATGTTGCCCATCCCTCAAAACGATGACGAGGAACAGCATCGCATCGTGGGCCAAAGCGTAGGAAGCGAGAGGGACGAGGTTTGTTTACTCTATGCAAAGCGCGGTTAGTTTGCCATTCACCGCTTGCAGTGCAGGCAAGGCAACGTACTCGTCACCAACATCTACCGATAATCTCTTGCGCATTCTAGACCTTGGGCCTCTGCCTGCATGTACAGGCAAGGCAATTGAATCCTGCAGACTTGGAGAACGGGATATGGCAAGACAGCCGCACGTGTTGCTCTCGTTGCTCGCCCCGATTTTTCTCATTCTCTTTTCATTCGAGGAGCCTCAGCCAATCTGAGTCTCGCACTCAATCCCCGAGCTTCGGTTTGTCTGCCACGTCGTCGTCGCGTTCGCTTCGCTCCGCGCAAGTAAACACCACGTACGTACTGTATCAAGGGGCCCAGTCAAAGGTCATGACAATGTCCAAAAATGGAGACCGATTCTTTGACAGATCCGCGACGTGGGGTACGTGGGAGATCCCTTGAGGCAAACTGTCACGGCATGGGGGTTCGTTATCACGACTTTTGATAAGATGGATGAGGCTGAAGCTGAGTTTGGGAAACAAGAATCTTTGAGACCGGAGATGTGGCATTCGCGAGTTTCTGGATCCTCGCTATCAAGCTTTTTTCTTACTCACCTACCTAGACCGGATAGCTGGGTCAGACACCCATGATAACAGCGCTGCACTGTAAATCATCACGCAAACCTTGGGCCCTTGTCTATCGTCGCATTATTCACCCTCCACTACCGCTACCTCACGCTTACCTACCTAACGTAGACAGATGAGAGAATTAAAGGTTGTCGCAAGGACCCCACACGGCCAATCTAATTCTTATCAATCAATCATAAGGGTCGTCCATCCCGAAGAGTCCCCTACTTGCGACCTTCTCAAATCTCTCGCGCCTCTTATCACCCATCGTTTCACAATCCACGGTTCAACGGTCGGCAAATACAAATTACAGAAGAGAAAGAAAAGGAAAAATATCCCTTCCTAAAACGGGTTGCGCGAGATTAAAACAGGAAAAGAAGAACGAATCGGGATGAAGCTTGGCTTTGAAAAAAAGTGACTGTTCTCGGGGAAGTCGATGCATGTCATGCAGCGTCTTTTCTTCACATGCGGCCAGGATCCAAAACCGGTCAGTGTGATGAGCAAGGGATGCCCCTTCTCACCGATCAAATGGTGGTTTCCTCAGGACATGGTCTTTTTGTCCTTTCTCGTCTTGCCCTGGCCGTAAAGAGCATTTAACAGCCGCCGAGGCTTGTGACTCGAACCCGAATCCCGCATTTGGTGGGTGTCATCACGTCAAAATCTCTACGGCGGGCAAGGATGGCGGGGTATCGGGAACGGAGGACGGAGATTGAACACACCAATATCATGATACGCATCGGGTCAAGACAAGGTAAGGTCATCATCATGGTTGCTATTACACTCTGAAACTATCTCGGATGCTATCTCGCCATGTTATCACCCCAAACCATCATGTTGATAGCCTTTGTCTGGGCGATAGAGATCAACTCAATCTTCCCACGTGCTCTGGACCCCACGACATCTGATGATTCCAAGCTTGGCTCAGGCGTGGGATGGTCTTCCGAGAAGAGGCATTACGTTCCGAATAGACGGTATCTAGCTGCCTTGAAGGATTTCGAGGGGGGGACATTTCAGCATGCAGATTCATGGTTGCGACTGCGACCACTTCAACACCAACACCATCATACGTTGGCGGTTGGCTCAAATACATAGGCCAATTGTAAATGCCCCAGGATCGTACATATAAAAGCCGCCGAGATTGAAAGTGAAGTTGCTGCGCCTGAAAGCCCCGAAAGTACCGCCATGAGGCCATCTACCCCACAACAAGGCTCACCGGTATGGAGTATGGAGAGTCCAATTGCGACGCAGTGCCAACATGCAGCATGCAGCGTGGCAGGGCTGCCGACACACCTGCTTGCTCTATTGGAGCCATGGTGATGCACCCTGCATCTATGTATCGACAGACAGCACCCGCACCCGATGAACCGAGGTGCAGGTAATGCCTTGATCCCCTCAAATTGTATGTACATACATTATGTGAGGGTTATGATTTGCAATTGTTGGAGGGAGGCAAAGAATGATCCCCTCAGCCTAGAGGGACCTGAGGCCCGTCTATCCAGGGTATTTCCTTGTTAGTATGACCCTGGACTGGACCAAGATATTAAGTTTTAGTAAAGCGTCTCGTCTGAAGTTTTTAGTAGGGGGTGCATGATGACGATGACTCTTGTTGATGTCAACTGTGGCGAAGAGCGTAGCGTTCGTGCCTGAGCAAGATCAAAGCGTCTGGATCGCGAGCGCAAGCTAGCATTACAAGAGGAAGCTCTGAACGCTGGAGAGTAGGCGAGTTGCATCATTGATATCGCATCGCAATTATAACGTAAGTCGGGGATTTGCCAATTGAAGGCTGGCAGCCACAGACCATCCATTCTTCTCCACGTCTGACGCTGATGCTGACGCTGACGCCAGAGGGATCGTAGCCAGGGGCCAGGGAAAGGGAAGGAAAGCCAAGTGCCGGATAGATGCATTAGCGCTGCGCAAGACACGTGCATACAAGCCCCGTAAGTGCATACCTTCTCTAGTTTCATACTTTCAAACGGTCGCTCCATTACCTATTTCCTAAATCGTCGACTTGCAGTTCTTGATACACCTCACCCGCTCTACATTTACACGCTCTTTTTCTTTAATATTATTCCTGGTACATGGGCTCTCTGTGCTCTGCTCCACCCCCTGTTACTGCTTTTCGAGCAAACTCCGAGATTTCATGCTTCCCAAAGAGTCAAGACACGTACATTATCACAAACCGGTCAAGCTCGCAGAGACCATGACCATGACCATGATGCCACAAAATGCGGCATTATGTGCATTCTCTGCTCTCTGCACTGCACGGACAAATGCCACACCCTCTCGGATATTCTGTCATCAATCTCCCGGTCGCAGCGGAGAATTAAAGTGACGGGTGTTATTGACGTCGGGCCAAAAGGAGTTATGCAAAACGTGATCGTGGTATCGTGCGAGTCTAACCAACATGCAAGCACTTGAGACCTTTTTTTGTTCTCCACGATGGATGGAGATTCGGCACACCCTGGGCCCCTTATTGTCATGCCATGATGCTTGCACCCGCACAAGCCAGCGAGCATGTGACTTGGCCATATGGTGTCTGTCTAGCATTGACGTAAAGTTACGTCTATTGGTGCAATGGGTGCATTGAGCGTTTCTGCGACAAGGCTGGCATTCAGTGATCAGATGTCTAGGGGATGTCTTCGATCGGAATATCGATCTCGACAAACAGCTTTGTCCCGATGAATCGCTTCCCCTGTTTTTAGACATAGGAAATGCCTGAGTGCAAACTCTTTCCGAAGTACGGAGGTAATTACAGCAAACATATTCCGTAGATTACGGCTTCATGATGCGCCGAGGCATGGATACTTGTTGTCACGCTGATCGCGATCTCGTGCCATGTACACGCTGAATATTGGCGACTTCTCTTTCGTTACCGATATACTGGATTGCGTTACGATTGGTGTATCGCAAACTCGGTGAGTTTTCTTTGCTAGGAAACTGGTTATCGCGAGACAAGTGTCCACCGAGTTTGCTTCTCTTGCAGCTCTGCTATTGGTGTGTTGGTCGACACAACTGTTGGTTCTGCACCCAATCCTAGCCCCGTTCTCAATGTCAGCGTAACATATGGATCTTGGATAATGAACTGAAGATATAGACATGCTGCACATTGTCTCGAGGTCAGGTGATGAGCAAACAAGTAGTTGCTTTTTTCTTATTCATTGTGTTAATGTTGGATCTGTTTGTTGGACGAGGCTTACATCGTTGGAGCTATCACATCTCAAAAAAGCCACGATTCAGGTCCTCAGGCACGACCCCCGTCACGCTAAAGGAAAGGCTGCATAGGGCGCACATCACGTTGCGTTCAACCGCTATGGCTAGAGGAGAAGAATAAGATCTTGTGGAGAGCTAAGCTCAATTGACGCGATATGATCTCAGCTAAGGCGGCTGAGAGATGTTTCCGTCATTCTCTTATTGGTTGTTAACCCTGTTGAATCGATCATAATAGAGGAGATATTCTCGGTGCCCCGATCTGATGTTGCAATGTGAGCGGCTATCACAAGTGATACCGCGCGTGAGATGCGCCTTGTAGCGTTGGAGGTGCTTGATCGCGTCGCGAGCTGAAAGAGAGGGATTGGCATCGTGCTCACGATGAACATCGCTATTTGCGAGTAATTCTTGGCGTGACGGACAAATCATAATTGCACAAGATGTCAAGGAATTCCTCGATGCTGCTTTGGCGAAGCCTTCTGAAACCAGACATGTCATTACTCAATTCTGTCTTGTTACCCCCTTAGCTGGTGGCTTACCCCTTCCGCGATGGGATGCATCACTAATCAACTGACGTTGCACAACCAACTACTAGTCTGTGAGGCTTCCAGGTTGTTGCCCAACCAAACCGCCCGTCGGTCATCTCGACTCGATCCTTCTTTATGCCTTCTATTTCTGCTTCTTCTCAGTTTCAGCCTCGAGTCTTCCGTCTACGAGACTTCCATCAGGCAAGGCCTTTTCCCTGGTTCTAACGTAGGCCAACAAAAATGGATACGCCAGATCACAAACAACTGAGGTGCCAGTAATGAAGACGCCAAGAGGATGGAAAACGAAGCCGTGAGCCTCGGGCCAGTACCACCACATCAGACCGCAAGAGACGGGCAGACCCATGACGGTGCCAACGAAGCGGCAGAACCTAGAAACGAGATGTCAGCATGGCTGAGTTTTCGATGCAGTGTTTGTTCTGAGATTGCTTTTTCTGGGTAGTCATCACGAGACAACAAGTGGATGTTAATCCTACTGGTAACCATCTCGTTCAGCACACCGCTCTCACCTGAGACACGATTTGCAGTAATGTTCCGAGCTCTGGGGATCAGGGAGCACGAATATGATAGATGTGATGACGAGACGACCTGTATCGAGACACACCCTCTTCAAAAACCAACAATTGCATATAGGAAAAGAAGGACTCACCAAATTGCATAGCTCTGTCCACCAGAGTGGCCTCTCTGAAGAAGCATAGCCAATGCCGAGACGCTGAATATCATTTGCGCCACACCAGCCGACCAATATGCCAACTCCGTAGTATCCCTCGCCTCAAGGCCCTTCCAATTCTTACCCCATTTGATGCCATACCCTCTATGCGGCTCCTCAAGCCACCACCACACAAACAACCCATTGCCTATGACACCCGCCACAAAAACCAGGAACAGCAACAAGGCAACATTGTTCGCTATGAGCGGACTTGAGGCAAACGACCTAGGCGCTGTTTTAAGCGTAGCGTAGAGAACAACCATATCGAGAAGAAGCCAGAGTATGAAACCGTACGTCTCAATGGGCGCTTCGCATACACCAAAGGCGTAGACTACTTCCCATCCCAGATTGAGACCCAGTGCGACGAGCGGTGCGGGCGTCGCGTGGGTTGCTAGTGAGCGGCGGATCATGAGGACGTAGGCGATCAGCCAGAATGTTATGCCGAGGGAGAGGCAGGCTGTTGATGCAGGGACGAGCCATGGTGGTGCTGAGGGGGGTGGGATGTCATATGAGCCCATTATGTGGTGTTTCTTTGAAGGCGGGAGTGTCTGAGGTGTGCTTTGATGGTTAAGAGGTTAGAGAGAGATTGGTGGAGGGTGGTATTTGGGGTGATTGAGGTATTGACTTTCCGGTTGTGCCGGATGATACTCTATGGATATGTGAGTTGTTGAGATCCGCGGACGAGGCTGCGGTGAGACGTGGATTACCCTATATGTCAGCCTGGGATGAGATGACACAACACCTCGCGGCGGTTTCCAGTCATGCACTCTGAGTCTAGATATTGTGGTTAATCTGATCATTCTTAATCAAAATGTGTATTTTGTTGTCCTTCAGAGTTGAGCTGTGGACGATTCACTGCGATAAACGTGCCCGTCTTTTGCCTCCACGGTACCAGGTCACCTCTCCTCACAGAACGACTGACATGACTAAGCCTGGAAAGCCAGAGACCAAATATACAGTGGGAAATATTATAGTTCACTCTGATAACTTCTTCATTTGCAATGATGGGGGTCTCTGGACTGGACCTGTATCAACATGAAACAGCTTCTTAAAAGGGAGATATTCTGCTGTTTGACCAGACCCAGAGACTTGGGTGGAATTAGCAGTGGAGTTGAACCTGAGCAAATGAGTTTCTTTCGAGATATTTTCCTCTCTGTCTCTCCACATGTAAGCATCCAGGTTACGAGCTTTTATAGAAACTATCACCAAATATTGGCTGTGATCTGATGCCCAGGGCGAGTCAGTCAATGGTGGGTTCGACTTCCTTGATACAACTGGTGGTAAGGACGCAGCTTCTGCGAACAAAAACCGAAACAATTATTTCTAGGAGTATTAGAGTGTCTGCCAGTCCAGATCGGACGTCGTTAAGATGTTTGGTGCACCCAGGAGGCAGCTTATCGTCTGGCTAAGCCAAGTTAACTAGGTACCCACCTGTCTATGAGAATTGATACTTGCATAAATACTACATCGCGGCAGTTGCAAGAGGACAATCTGTATTGATAGATCAAATGAGGAGCTACATCCAAGAGCTCAGCCCAGAGGATGGTAAATTTAGGGCCATCACCTTCAGTTTCCTCCGACAAAGGTCGGCCTTGCTCGTAGCCCATCACGTCAGTAATCGAGAAATGCCTCAGATATGGGGAGCTAGCCATAGCGGAGAATATTAGCTGCGGGAATCATTAAACAAACCCTGAGGTATGTTCTAGCGACTCTTGTTATGAATGAAGAATACACTATATGCTCCTCGGTTGCCGTGACATGCTCGTGAAGGGTGGAAACGGACACTTGTGAGTGAAGCGAAACCAGCCGAAAGACTGATAGTGGCTAGCTAGCTATGAAATGCTCTATCTTGATAGCTTTGAGTCATGAAGGACAATGAGTTGAGTAGAGGGACAGTCAAGTCTCTTGTGGGCTGGGAACAGTCTCTGAGCCTGACCTTGCCATGGCACAATACGAGACTTCATAGATAGAAAGGCCAGAGAACAGCCACTAGATACATTTATATCTAGTTTTTGTTTTCACTGTATTCTTAGACCACAAATAGTGAGCGATAGGGGTCGCAGTGTGCAATGCGTTCTAATTATACTAAGCTTGGTGAGAGACGCTTCAGACAGCCATCAGGCTTTCGTTGAGTCAATTCCACATTTTCGCCTAACAAGTTTACGGAACCATTTGAGATCTTCTTTAGGAGCTCCTAGAGAAGTCCAGAAACATATATCTTGGCACCGGCCCGGACTAAGCTTCTATGAACCCCGACGGAGGCATCGAGGGAAGCTTTCGAGAATCAACTGAGTCCAGCTCACCAAACAGACCTGTATCATCTGCGTGGAATGAAAAGAAGAAGAGACTAACAAAGTCAAGTCATTGAGGATAGCAAGTAAGCTAGATAGCTTCCGGGATTGGCAGAGGCTGAGTCCATAACCCTGATGCACGAAGCTGGATGGAGTCTCGAGAACTTGAGAGAAACTCGGGACCTTCTCCTGGCCCAACATTCACGACGGATGAACTAATTATTGATGCCCAAATCTGATGAGGGAATCCTTACACCCGATCAACAGGCTCCCCTGATTCAAGAAGAAAGTCAACTTCAGAAACATCCCATCGTCCGACAAAGAGTGTCCACATTTGGGTTCAAGATGTGATTTAAGACCTCACTTAACAAGGATATCTCAGGTCGGAGATATCATTTAGAGCCCGAAAATCATTCCCACAACTTCTTATGAGGAACAATTAAAGCCTCAACGTTTCATCCCACATTTGAACTGTCCACAATCGCAAACATCTCCACCATGCTGACGATTTTGATGCCATACTAAGCCTTGATGACACCGGCAAACCTCAACTTTCCTTTCAGGTAACGTAAATAGTTGAGGATGTCATATGATCTAGTCATGAGATTGATACGCGTTATCTCAAAGGGCATCAAAGATCTCCATCCACGCAATGGGAAAGCTGTCCCTGCTTTCACTTCGAAACAACCTTCTTCATCACTTCCCCGGCGCGGAATGAATCAAGACCCTTGACGTCCCGAACCTCAACACCAAGTAACCGATAAGACTCCATACGTAATTAAAGCATCGTGGCAAAGCATAACTTGTGCAAGAGGATATCGCCGGCTTTGAAGCCGGTCCTGAATGGAGAACATTCGGGCCATATACACATCGGTGAGGATATCAGCACAGACAAAAACACTCGCTAACCAAGCTTATTGGACATGAAGCCCTCAGTGCTCCCTTAGAAGCGGAGAAAGAACTGGCGAGAAAGACCGACTCTTTCCGCTGAAGCGATGGGGACGTGAATTATGCTCAGACCCTCATGAGGCCCAACGCTGTGAGGTGATGTGACAGGCATCCAGATTATCGGTCTTTATTACTTACAAGAGTTATTATCATGATGCTGACACGGGCTTTGAATGTTCTTTTGTAAATATGAGGACTCAGGATCTGCAGTGAGCTTGGGGAGGCCGGATGTTTTTACCGGCCAAGACTTTGGGAGATTGACGGATGCTTGGGGAGATGATACTTGCCATGTTGAGAAGCCAAGCTTCGGTACGACGCGGCTTGATGCATGACGATTCAGAGGGTCGATAAAGAGATGATATCACTGTCTCTACTCTGTAGTACTTGATAGGCTATGGAGGTGTCTATAATGTTTACTCTTGAACCGATGATAGTCGAGCCGTTATTCATCGATTCCTTCCAGAAACACTGACGATCTTGGTGTATTCCATTCTACCCAAGTGATGAACACGCATCGAATGATGCATTAGCACAGCCTACCCCTGCAAGCCGCAGAATTACCAGATCTAAAGGGTTAGAGGGTCAAATAAGAACCGGCAGTGACACGGAAGACACCCATCTAGCTGCCGGCGGCAGCGCCTGAAGTGCACCATTTAGGAAATAGCATGATTCAGGACATCGGCATTACCTCCACGCACAGGTCACGTCTGTCGATAATATTTCGGTTTGGACAGAACATTCTTCAAACACGCTACGTTCCAATAGCCAAGAGACGAAAAGCTGGAGTGCCCCGGATATCCCGAGGTGAAATTGATGGGGGAATATGGAGATGTCCCATGGGGACAATGGACAGGTCTTGTTTATTGTACGTAAAAGCCGAGTGACTCGTAATATACCATCTCACTCTTTTCTGCCAAGGCCAAAAGACTCCAAATAATAGGTTCACGAGAGTAAAAAAGTTCAGGCCGTGTTCTCTTGGCAACGGACTCAGACCGAATATCGTATCACGGAACACCCCACGCCATAGTCTTCTAGAATTCGACTAGAAGTCTTTTTTTGCTTTTCTTGCAGTGCAGTGCGTGCAGGATGGATGAACCAAAACCCCTGAGGCAAAAACAAAGGTGCGTGGTCAGGGATTAGGGATGACGACATGGAGGACAGGGATGCTTGGGGTTATTTTCCGCGCCGAGGATACTGTAAGCCGCAGTGACTGACTCTTGCATGACATTGTAATAAGCTTATTCCTCAGTAATACGTGGTTTCGTTGACTCGTAGTTAATTTAGCTGCTCAACACCATATCTTGGTAGACCAGTTACCTATTTCTCCAGAAGGAGAAAGACAATTATAGGGCTTGTTCAGTGGACATCACCCCTGTAAATCTGAACACATCTCCAAAAATCTCTCCAAATTTCCCCAAAACAAGAACAGCAGTCCCCTGGGCTTGTTCCGCGCTCTAATTCTTGGCGTGGCAAAAACTCAACAGGAGCATTTTTCATAGAAACACAAGAACCCAAATCCATGCCCTTTAACTTCAATGGCATGATCATCAAAACATCAGACATATTTAAATATTGCTATGGGAAAAAGAGGCCAGAAAGGGAATCTCCACCTCGGGTCCATGTTACGGCTTTAACCCTCTCTGGGTAACGCGCCCGTCAGCCTCGAATTCAGTGAAGGAAAAAAGTTTGAAACTAGGTAACTTGTAGCTTTATTGCCTTTTTCGGATGAGTGTAGCCAAGCTTATTGGAACCACAATTCAGAGGCGAACAAGATATCAACAAGTACTGTACCCAGAGACTCACGAGAAGAAGCAAATCATGAGTAGATACTACAGTAGAGTGCAGACATCATCAAGTATCATCTTGGATACCATGATGAAGATCATTCATGATAGACCCTATAACTACCGAGTGACGACAACAGCTCTATCCATTGTATCCCCCAATACTTGCAGATCAGTCATTACTAACGGCCCGGATTTACAGCCCCAAAACAACGGCCAAACCGGTCCAGTCCTGCTGCTGCTAATCGGCTTGGATTGTCATGTACGTAACATGACGGCCTTCTAGCGCGTTTCCACCACTTTGATCCCCTTTCCCATGTCCCCAGCTTTTACTCCATCAATTGCACCATGCAAATACCTAACAGAAACGCCCAATTCGAATCACTGATACCCCATGTAATCCCTCACTGAGCGTGGAGTGTTTGCCCCAAGGGTCCTGCATCTACTCTACGGTGCAGTATCTTCTCACGAGAGAGAATCCACATATGGGGAGAT